TTGCTGCTCCATGATCCTTGTTGCTTCAAGCAACTGGTGTTCCAAGGCATTTTGTGCCATTTTGATTCCTAAAACATAAAAAATCATTTCAATGTAAAATATTAATGAATAAAATGAATAAGTCATTAAATATAGGCCTATTTTTAATTCATAAGCTAGAGGCTTTTGGTCTGTCATTGTTTATGACTGTATATTCAAGACTTAAATTCCACCCTGATGACCATGCAAAACTATGACTGACAAAAATGCTACAGGTAAAAAAGATTTTTTTTTTGGTATACAATGTATATATAATTATATATGCCACTGTTTTTATTATTTGCATCCAAAGTAAATGATAAAAACAGTGACATGACATTACGCTGCTTGTTTATGCTTTATCTGCACATGTCACAATATATAAAGCAGGGGTTGGAGTCAGAGGAATCTTTACTGAGTTCTCGCGGTGTCTTCCCACTTAGCCAAAATTCTGAAAAAAGTACAGGTGAATGGTTTTGGCTAGGTGGGAATGATGTACAGGTAAGGGGAGGGAGAGAACAAAAGAAATTAATTACACGTTATCTATAGTCTGTTTTAGATGAACCCCAGAAAAATGCTTAAAATATAAGCAAAGTCTTATAATTTTATAAAGGGTAATTAAAATAAATATACACATGTGACCACTCAGGTGTGAAAATCCCAATTTTGGCTAGATGGGCATAAGAAATTCAGAATTCTGGCTAAGTGGGAATAAACCATTCTCGCATCTCAGAATTTAGATCAGTGAAATAAAGTTATAAAAAGTAGGCAGATTCACGACACCAGCTGGTGTCGCTGAATTCCCACTTTTCAATATGGCCTCCCCTCTGACTCTCCCGTGCACAAGCCACAATATAAACAATATAAAAAGCAGGGGTAAGAGACAGAATTTGCTGCTCAATCCATTCTCTGTTAAATATGAATACATTTTTAAAAATAAAAATTAAATTTAATCCTCCCATTTGACATCCTTTTTGTTTTCAACTAGCCTTTCATAACAGATAGCAAATATCTGATCTCGTGTTACTTGATGTATGATAACAGAATTCAGAAGCATCTTGTCTTCTTTTTTTATTTTAATATATGTATTATGTAAAGAAATCAAAATGTAGGGCCTAATTGAAATTACATGGAATACACCACAGATCATCGACTTACAATGCCAAAATAAAAAGAAGCACTAACAGTAACATATCACCATGACTACTTATCTAACAATTCAATCTTCAAACAATAATCTGTACTTTTTCAAGATTTTGGATGTAAAGTTATTTACGCATTACCAGTTGTGGATTGGGCAACAGAGGAATTTCTGGCTAACAGTAAAGTCCCTCATAAATTATTTGTGATTTTAAAAGAATCGCCAAACATTTAAGATTTAAAAGTACGTCCCTGCCTGATAGATACACTTTGTAATTCATCATTTACCTTATTTAAAATGTTAAAAATCAACAATAAAGTGTCCAGCAGTTGTCTTCTTCAATGTTTCCCATACACACCTAAGAGACTGTCTATTATTGGTTGGATAAATGGCTTCCGGAAAAACTAACCAATCAAAATATGTTTTACAAAAATTAAGTTTAGTGACAAACCGTAAACAAAAGCACGTTGTAATATGTCCAAGCAAGCAGTTGGTGTCAGTGTTTACTTTGTTGTCAAGGCCACAGTGATACATACATAAAATATCACAAATTATTAATCATTATACTTTTTGAAGAGGGGGAGACAGCCAGAGAAAAACTTCCACCACTCCTCACCAAAAAATGACAGGCCAAAAAAAAAAAAAAAAAAGAGTGGGAGGGGGTTAAATAAAAACACACAGAAATCCTATTTCGGAGGGGGAGGGGGTTTTCGTAGACGTAGGTTATAACTCCCTTCATTATAATGGGTTTAACAATTGTTACAGAAACAAGTGTCTATGCGTAATCCCAATACAATGATTTTTTTTCCTCTCGCTTTTTGATTTTTTCCCCATACTTTCTGGTTTACCCCCAACCCCTTAAATCCATGTACTTTATATCAAAACTTTTTTTTAAAGTTATGACTTTCCTGTCAATTACACAATTTAGTTTCAAAAATATATAAAAAAAAATGTAAAACCAATAACCGATTTCTTTACTGACTGCCAATTTTTGGCAGTTGCCAATTTTTTCAATAACTTAAGCATTACCAATGTTTGGAAAAAGTGTGTTTGAGGAGGGCATACACCAGGGACCTATATATAGTACACAGGTCCATGCATACACTAGCTGCAATAATGTATTTTTTAAAAATATGATATATATACACCCCCCAAAAAAAATAATAAATCGGAAAAAGCTTCAATGTTGCAGTTATATAACATGTTCCTGTTTCTGTAATAATTCTTAAATCTATTATAATGGGTTTAACAATTGTTACAGAAACAAGTGTCTATGCGTAATCCCAATACAATGATTTTTTTTCCTCTCGCTTTTTGATTTTTTCTCCATACTTTCTGGTTTACCCCCAACCCCTTAAATCCATGTACTTTATATCAAAACTTTTTTTTAAGTTATGACTTTCCTGTAAATTACACAATTTAGTTTCAAAAATATAAAAAAAAAAAAATGTTAAACCAATAACCGATTTCTTTACCGACTTAACAAAGACAACACAAAGTTTTGAAATCAATTCAACTATAGAAACGTCAGGACATTCAAGTGAAAAATCAGCAAGATCAGTGGAAATTTTAATTTGAACTTAGTATATCTTGTATAATTTTATCTAAACGCAATCTTGTCTTTTTATTTTTCTTTTAGCTCGGATATACACCAAATTTTTGTAAATATTTTCCTGTTCATTTATCATGTACATCATCCCAACTAGTCCATTGTATTTACATAAACATCTTTAGTTCGTATTATGTGTGTTTTACGCATAGAGTAAAAGCATGAAAAGAGAGGTATGGAAATCCCTATTTAATACCAAATTTGAAGAATGGATTGAAGTTGTTCTCCCTCTGCAGCACTCACTGATATATTTTATCTATATCAAATATATTTAGGAACGTTTTTTTTTAAAGTTTTGTGTAAGTTATTGGTGTGTTAATCACACAGACTTGTCACGTAGGCATATTCATGAAGCGCCCCCGTTAAAAAAAACAGCCAAAGTAAATACAAAAAATTGATCACTTTTTTTTCCTGTTTTCTTAATACTTTACAGAGGAAACAACAGAGATAACGAACAGTATTCAAGATCAATACAGAATAGGAGCAGAGCAAACACAGACCTTCAAAACATTGGAGGTGGGATCAGGTGCCACGGAGGATTAAGCATCCCCTGCTGACCGGTCACACCCGCCGTGTGCCTTTTGTAATGATCGGAAAATAACGTAAAAATCCGTCGTCATTTTCAGTGTATAAATAATGGACTAACAATTAGTATGGAAAACGTCAGTCAGCCTTTGACTCAATGATAAATTGTATTTGCTGACAAGGTCACAAGATATAGAATATAGTAAATAACCTTTTATTTAATCACATACCTAAAGAGGGCGCAAGAGCAAATTGCATCTGTCAATTATTTTTTGCACAACATGCACTTTTTAGAAATTAAAATATCATTTTTCAAGCAATGTTAAAATTGAGATTTAGTTTTTCCCTTTCTTGATTTTCCATGCAATAGGCATTTTGCTCATCTTGTTTCCCAGTGTGGAAATGTGAGGGTGAAATCAAATGAAAACTTTTTTGACTTTTATAGCTCCCGAATGTGGATGCAGAACCTTACAGCTTGGTGAGAATTCCCATAATTTTGTTTCAAACAATGGGTACGTATGGGAAAGAATGTGACCTAATGAACATAGTGGTACACTGCATGTAGTTGTACAAAAGTTTTTATTACACAATAAAGATACTATACATCTTATTTTATGTCTTTATGTATGCAAGGTTGAATAAGGAGGTATACTTGAAGTTTTTGGCAGTGCTGCTCTCCAACCTTTTCTTAGTTTTACAGACATTTTATGTACAATATCCTGGTATGAAGGTAAAGAGGCCACATTGTAATGTTCCTCTGGATCTGTGTCATGTATATACAGCTCCTTGGCAAACACCTTGTTCCAGTTAACTGTGAAGTTGTTAGGATAAAACTGAATCCATTCTGTGTATCTGCTGTTCTGGGATCGTAGGGAGTAACCCATGATCCTGCTGTTGATGGCCTTTGGTTGATCGCTGTTCTCCTGGGGCTTTAGACTAGGACGAGGATACTGACTGAATACTCCCGACTTCCAGCTTTTCAGAGGGGGATTAATGTCTAGTCGGGTAGCATTTCTTATCAAAGGCACGAAACTGTGTCCTTCTGTACAGAGTGTTATATTGAAGGAACTCCGTGGACACGTTTTTAAGATGGGGAGTCCTGCAAGTTCCACCAGAGAAGGAAAAATGTCCACCAGTTCTACCAGACCATCTGTGGTCTGATATTTATTATATGCTTTTTTGGATAAGGAAACATGTTGAGGCAGTCTACAGAGATCAAAGGTCAATCCTGGTACTGACACCAACAGAGGCACTCGGGTGGCCACCTCAAAATTACTGAATTTGGACCATTCTTGGTTCTCACCAAGGGCCCAACCTGTGGAAAAAGTCATTAGAAAGTTACTAGGTCTATGTATATATTGTTTGTAAGACATTTTACAACTTGTGACATCATAGCTTACCATGATCACCTAGAAGTACTGTGATAGTGTTTTTGGCAAAGCCATTCTTGCGTAAGGCAGTCAGTATATGACCCAGAAGGTCATCTATGTAGGTCACCGAGGCATAGTAACTCTGAATCATCTTCTTCTGTAGAAACAAATGAAATATTTTTAAACAGATTACACCGCTGAATCTATGGAGAGAACGATCATAGGCATTTATGCCTGCCGTTCAATCCATTTCTATAAATAAAATAAAGTGCCCCGCCACAGCATGATACGCCCGTCAAATATTGTTCAATAATCATAAATTGATTAGGATGCAAGAAAATCAGGTAAGCCTTGATTAACAGATTGACACAGATTTCAATGATCTAATTTCCATTTCTTATCATACATCTCTTAGAGACTTGCAGTGTAGGGATTAATTATAACAAATACATCATATAACTCTAAACTGGTTGTGTTCGAGCATAATAAATATCCATCTGCAGCTTACTTAAACTTAAACTGTTTATTGCATATTTTATGAAATAATAGAAACAGTTAGCTACAGTTTAATAAAAACAAGAGGCCCATGGGCTACATCGCTCACCTGAGAAGCTTTGACCATTATGTTCTTTACCAGATTTCCTCCTTATAATACATAATGCATCCCCACCCTACCCCACTGATCATAATTAAGACATTTTGAAATCTACACTACCCCAAGATCCTTCCATGTCCACATAAGTTTCAGCTTTTCTGGCCCAGTGGTTCTTGAGAAGAAGATTTTCAAAGATTTTTCCTATATATTTCTATGTAAAACTTTGACTCCCCATTGTGGCCCTGCCCTTCCCCCGGGGGTCATGATTTGAACAATTTAGAATCTACACTATACCAGGATGCTTCCACATAAGTTTCAGCTTTTCTGGCCCAGTGGTTCTTGAGAAGAAGATTTTCAAAGATTTTTCCTATATATTTCTATGTAAAACTTTGATTCCCCATTGTGGCCCCGCCCTTCCCCCGGGGGTCATGATTTGAACAATTTATAATCTACACTACCACAGGATGCTTCCACATAAGTTTCAGCTTTTCTGGCCCAGTGGTTCTTGAGAAGAAGATTTTTTAATGACCCCACCCTATTTTTGTCTTTTCTTGATTATCTCCCCTTGTGAGGGGACTTGGCCCTTTATTTTAACAATTTAAATTCCCCGTCACCCAAGGATGCTTTGTACCAAGTATGGTCAAAATTGGTCCAGTGGTTCTTGAGAAGAAGTCAAAAATGTGAAAAGTTTACAGACGGACGGACAGACAGACAGACGGACGGACGACGGACAAAATGTGATCAGAAAAGCTCACTTGAGCCTTCGGCTCAGGTGGGCTAAAAATCAAACATAAATTATAATTTCTTCAGACTATAAAATTCTAAGTGAGACATGACTGCTATTTGTTGCAAATATATAATCAAAGTACTGAAAGTACTGGGAAGCGCTAAGCAGATGGTTCAACTAAACCCGCCTCTTGATCGCCTTGACTGTTAAGTTGAATAAAACCGAGTGTAAGTTTTGTTACTTTAATAAAGTCTTAAAAAATGAAAAAAAAAATAACAAAGTGTTGCATTTTGGATCCAGGTTTCTGCGATATTTAATATTACAGTCCGATTTTTTTCTTCTGACTTACCTCATTTCAGATTAGGTATTAAACTCTGCATTAGCTGAAAAGTTTTCTTTGTTGTTGTTGGTTTTTTTTTTGGGGGGGGGGGGGTTGAAAAAAAATGCTGCTGATATCCTTCTCTTGAATGTAAAGTAGAGAACACAAAACCTTTTAATGAAATTTTGAACAATGTATAATTCTACTCTCAAGAATATGAAGAATATTATTCGTACTAAAATTCAAAATTGGCTGTCGGCGACTTTATTTGTTATCATCGACCGCAGGGGTGATCTATCTATTGTGTTTGAAAATGTACAGGGAGAAATGAGATATTATTTTTGTATTTGTTCATATTTAATGATAAAATATATTAGGATTATGAATTAACGATTTTTAAAATGGGATAATATTTTGTTTGAACTGTTTTTAGCATATTTTAATATTTGATCCTCGTATTAAATATTTATAAAGTTATATTTTTATAAATAAGCTTTTACAAAATAAAAATTTCTAGCATAGGACCTTGTAATATATAAACACAATCATTACAAGACTTAGTTTCTGGGTATATAAATAATGAAAAAAATGTTGAACTTTTAAATTTTGTTTTGAATTTGCTACACTTGAATAATATGATAACAATATTTTTTCAATATTTCAAATTTATTGTGATACCAATCCAACCTCGTGCAGCATGTTGCTATCATCATGTAACAAAAATCCCCGAAGAATTTATAACTGTGGACACGCCCCCCCCCCCCTCGATATATTCGACCCCAGGGCTTGTTGGACATTTTTTTCACAAATTATATTTATTCATCATGTGTACAATATGAAGGGGGATTCCTGTGCCTGTGATACTTCATCTCTGACTCTCACACACATGATTTATAATTTATTTTTACCGAAATTAAAAAAAGGCTTGGCCATTCTGTTTCTCGTCATATATTTGAAGCAGAATTGACAATATTTCCTTTTAAAATAAAAATATTACATCACATACTCTTCTACTTAGAAAAAAAAATCACATTAAAATTTGTTTGTATTTTTCTTGAACTCATTTTGGCGAAAGTACTTTAAAATGCTTCAGTTTTTTAACACCCAGTCGTTCAGTGAAATGGATTTTTTTGGCATCAAAATATTTTGTTACAGATAAAAACTACAAAACAAGTATAGACTCTATATAAATGTGTTCAAGTTTGTCCTGCTAAAGGATAATTTGATGCTGTGAAATCATTATAATTGATTGCCCTCTGTGTAATGCAAGTGTGAAAATAAAAATCCTCGTTTGTATAAAATTTACATTGTTTGAAATAAAGGCTTATGCAGAAAAGGGCGTGTAAAATTATGTAATGAAACTACAAAATGTAGATACAAATTAGATATAAAAGCTAGTTTAATAAATAAATAAATTTTTATGGAATTATACTTCTAAAAGATTTAATTCCAATTTGATTTTTTTAATACTCACTGAAATTTTAAGCTTAATGAGACTTAAATACACGTTAGCATAAATCTTTTTTCGGTACTTGTATCAATATATAAACATGTATGGTCATTTAGTTTTCGAATTACCACTACAAAGATTACATGTACATTTGTGACATAATGAGTGTTTGCCAGTATACTTATTAATACGCACCATATTGTTCAGAGATAAGAACCGCCCTTATCCCCTAATGCAGGATTTCCGTACGGTTTGTTCCCGTTTTGCACACATTTAATTACAGATAATTAAAAAATGTGTGAAAAACGGGAATTTGACCAGGTGAGATAATTACTTAATTGCTATAGTCTATACTATACTTGACTTAGCAAGTATGTGAAAGATGAACTTATAGTGAAAAAATAAGAGAACAAATACAAAGTTAATGTATTTGATCCGATGATCTTATTATGACATCTTTTCAAATTAATTTTTATTCACTATTTTCTTTATAATATGTTATATCTTTAATTCATTTAGAATTATATCAAGATTTAAAAGATTTAATAATAAATAATATGAAACAAATATTAATTATTTATTCAATAAAACCAAATATTTTCCCATAAATATATATATAATTTCAATAAAATGCTTATAAAATTGTATTAAACCTCTTAAGAATACATTAAGCTAAATCAGGTATTCACAGGTAAATCCAAAACAGAAATCAGACTATAATTGCTATCAAAACACACTTCACACCTGTTGTTCTATGCTAATTACCAAATGTGTGCAAAACGGGAACACACCTTCCGTACATATTAATTAATATCGACTGTACTAATTAACACCTATTATGATAACTCCTACACTAAAGTAGCGGACAGAGGGTCGGGGATTGTTAGACGACTCAGTAGAGTTACATAACTTGCTCAGCGGCGCTATATTATGTATCTCTCCGCGTAATATAGTTCTTCATTTTGAGAACATAATATACAACATTAAAATATATAATTTATATATAATCACCTTTAAAAAGAACCATATTACACCACGAAGATAATTTAGGTCAAAATAATAGCCCTTGCAAAGGCATTATAGAACCCATTTGTTTACATAATTATCATTATTTATAAAGGGCGCGTCAGGGGTGCGTTCAAGATCTTAGTGCTAGATGGATATTTAAAGTACAGATACGAAATTTGAACAAGAATAGCAGCCACGTAAAGAATATACATTATAAATATTTATGCTACGTTTGAAATCCTGTATAAATATATCCTACTTGGATAACACTTTGCATCACGCGACATGCTGTATATACCGGTATACTAACTGAAGGATGTTCTTTATCTAATCGTAAAGTCTCGTGACACACATTCAATTTTTGCATGCTTTTTCATACATCAGTTATAAATGTAATGATTGTATAATAGCATTTATTTTAACATCTTATGGGTAGACGAGCTGTCTTTCAAAACAACTGGGTATGCAGCATATATTAAACTATGTGTAAGTTTACTAGCAAGTATGGTATTGAATGCAGCCCTGATATATGCGGTCGGTAGAGGGCGTTGAATAAAAGATCGTGAAAATCTGAAGACACCCTATAAATCGCTTGCGCATGCGCGCTTAGCGCTTAAAAATTGAAATATATTTTTTTTTCAATGAACACATGTATGTATAATTAGTTTTAATTATATTATACAATACTAATTTAGTTTTAATCATACACTAAAACATAAATTTGTTTTAATTACACATTACACCAATTGGAAGATCTTTATCTGGACTAGCCATCAAGAACTCTTAATTACCACAAGCAACTATGAGGCCATTTCTTTTTGCCCAACTCCCAAGAGATAGATTAAGATAACAGCTTCATCAAATCTAGAGATGCTCTTAGCTCTTGACAATAAACTCATTAATTTCTCTCTAATTTGACATGGAAGTTTTTGCTACCAAAATTCTTCTTGACCAGTGCTTGATAATTATGCCCATGGGACAAACTGAATTCCTCTCAAAGCATAAACATTTGTTACAGATTGCTGTAAAGTATATAATGAAAAAATAAGTTTTTACTTAATTTAACATTTTTTAATAAGGATACAACTATATTTTTACATTTTTTAGGATTATGAAATTAGAAATTTAAAAGACTTAGTTTTTAAAAAAAAAATCACTTAAATTGAAGGTCACAGTGACCTTGAAATAGGCCGCGACACACCTTCTACTTTAGCTATATACTTTTGCCAAGTTTGAAAGCTCTAGGTCTCATAGTTTTCTAGTAATGAGCCGGACAGGAATTTTCCATATTTGGCTATAGCATCTTTATTAAAGGTCAGAGTGACCTACTTTTTGTGCGCGACACACCTGCTACCCAAGATGTATCAGCACACAAAGTTTGGTAAGTCTAGGCCTAATAGTATTAAAGTTATGAGCCGGACACGAGAAAAGCTAACAGATGGACGGACACGAAGCCTATAACATAATACGTCCCGTCTTAAGACGGGCGTATAATATATATAAAACTAAACCGCTGAATCTTGAGAACAAGATACAGAAGGGTCACAAACCTCAAGTTCCTAATGTTTCTCTTATTTGATTGGTTAAAATTCACACATTAACCTATATAAATACCGGTACTGTGCACAGGGAAATTTTCGTTCCTGTTTTATTTTTGCCCCTTTTCCCTTGTCACAAGGGGGCGAATTTAAAATGGGACGAATTCAAAGAACACAGTATAATTTCTTAAACAGCACTGGACTGGGCGAATTTAAAACAGGACAAAATTGTTACCAAGTGTAAAAGGGTGAAAATAACATGGGACAAAAATAACCCTGCAATGTATACAGTATCTAGATCAATATAAGAGACTATACCACATTTGTAGAGTTTATTTATTTACATGTACATGTATATTAATATGTGGATTAGAAATCAATGAAAATTAAATCTGTAAAAATATAACATTTTTAGATTGTATATTACCTGGAAGTATTCTAGAATATGGCCATAAGGAAAACTAACATTAAGACTCTTGACATCATCTCTTTCTCTCAGATCAGCCCATGGATTCCAGGCCACCGAGGGGAGACCTGGGGGTTTGGTGGGATACTTGGCAAGTTTGATATTCTCTATAGGGTACAATTCTACAAAGGCAGAATAAAATTAACATCTTAAACATAAACTTAGGACTTTTTTCAAACTTAAGACTTTTTTTTTCAAGTCTGACTAAATTTTGTTTTGACAGAATAGTGCACTTTCAACATTCTATTAAGAATCTTTTCAATCATCAATGTTCAAATGTAAATTATTCATAATAACTAATAATAACAAATTATCATTCTTTTCTGTTAAGATAATCTTCATTTTAATTGTTTCTATATACTTAGGAACTCCTCTGGAAATTTGAATGGGATGTGAGGTTTGTGGTACCCAAGAGCCAGAAAGAAAGGTTTGCTCTGATTGGTCCATTTTTGTATGAATTGTACAGCATGCTGTGTGGATTGGATATCGGGTAGAGTCTGTTCTGGCTGTGTGGAGACATTCACTGGACAAACTATATTCATCTGTAGCTTGCCTTGTGGACCAGGGCAGACCTGCATTAAAAAAACAAATATAAAAAAATGAATGTAATAAAGTATATCATCCAAAACAAGAGGCCCATGGGCCACATCGCTCACCTGAGCACTGTGGCTAGGAAAAAGTAGAACTTGGTTTATTATTGAAAAGTAGTCCCATGACAAATCATGACTTTGCTATATCCTTGAAAAGAAGATTTTTAAAGAATTTTCCTATATACTTTTATGTAAAAGTCTGGTCGGCCATTGTGGCCCAGCCCTACCCCTGGGGGTCATGATTTGAACAAACTTGAATCTACACTACCTGAGTATGCTTCCATATAAATATGATCAATTATGGCTTTGCTATTCTTGAGAAGAAGATTTTTAAAGAATTTTCCAATATATTTCTATGTAAAACTTTAGTCGGCCATTGTGGCCCCGCCCTACCCCCAGGGGTCATGATTTGAACAAATTTGAATCTACACTACCCGAGGATGCTTCCATATGAATATGATCAATTATGGCTTTGCTATTCTTGAGAAGAAGATTTTTAAAGAATTTTCCTATATATTACTATGTAAAACCTTGGTCGGCCATTGTGGCCCCGCCCCTACCCCCGGGGGTCACGATTTGAACAAACTCGAATCTACACTACCTGAGGATGCTTCCATATAAATATGATCAATTATGGCTTTGCTATTCTTGAGAACAAGATTTTTAAAGAATTTTCCTATATATTTCTATGTAAAACTTTGGTCGGCCATTGTGGGACCGCCCTACCCCCGGGGGTCATGATTTGAAAAAACTTGAATCTACACTACCTGAGGATGTTTCCCCATAAGTTTCATCTTTCCTGGCACAGTGGTTCTTGAGAAGAAGATTTTTAAAACATACCACCAAATTTTTATTAATTCCCAATTATCTCCCCTTGTATGAGGGCGTGGCCCTTCATTTGAACAAACTTGAATCCCCTTCACCCAAGGATGCTTTGTGGCAAGTTTGGTTGAAATTGGCCCAGCGGTTCTTGAGAAGAAGTCAAAAATGTGAAAAGTTTACAGACAGACAGCTAGACAGACAGACAGACAGATGGACGCTGGACAAAATGTGATCAGAAAAGCTCACTTGAGCCTTCGGCTCAGGTGAGCTAAAAATGATCTAAAATCATATGAAATAGGCTTAAGTTAGTTTCATTCTATAAGAAAAACAAGAGTTTAGAAACATTAGTCAAGCATCTAATTGATAAACCACTCAAAATGAAAAGATCATCAATCTTTAAAATAAATGGTGGGGATAGATTCCTGAGGAAGTTACCTTTTTCATTTTGTACTGTTGTGTGGAGGGTAAATAAGGAGGAACAGTCCAACTGTAAGGGTAATCTGTGGTATGTCCTGAAACTATTCCTGTAAAAGAAATATAAAGATGACTTCCCTCCGAGTTATTGGAAAATCAGAAATCCTCTTTCTATAGTTTGTAATACCTATACTCAGTGAGCACATTGATCTGAATTAAAATCTTGTTAACACCTGGATGAAATATTTTCCCGAAGGATTCTGTATGATATCCATTATCTTTGAAGTACTGAGGTAGAGTTGTGTAATTCCCAGCAGATTTTCTCCAGTAATAATGTACATCCCAGAGTTTTGTCGTGTCTGGACGGCGACTGGTTAGAAACGAAGTCCTGCTAGGTCCACACAGGGCTTGCTGTGAAATAAAAATCAAATAATATCAGTTACCTCTGTCAATTTAGCTAAGATTTTAATTACCTAAAGACTTTGAATTTTGACAAAAACTTATTCAAGTATTTATGAGTGTATTGCTGATAAGCCCAGTGTTCACATTGTAAATGAGGGTCCAGAGGATGTGCATTTTTGTGTTGGTGAAAAAGACCTTGGTTTACTCCCTGATAAGCCTGGAATAGCTTGTGAGAGAGCGCATCTTCAAATTTGATACATTTCCTGAAGTGCTTCTACTTCCTTGCTTAAACATAATTAATCAGTCTTGGTGTTCTTGATAAGATTTTTTAAAAAGATTTTTTTTGCTCATTGTGACCCCACCTACCCCTAGGGATTTGATTTGAACAAACTTGAAATCTACACTACTTGAGGATACTTGAATTTAAATGACAATGGCTTTCCTACTTTTGAGAAGATTTTTCTCGTGTATTCCTTTGTTAATCTTTGAATGCCCTTCTTGGCCCCGTTCTATCCATAGAAATCATGTTAAGAAACATGAATCTACAACTTATTACCAGTGATAAAGATTTTGCAAAAAGTTTCATCTTTTCTGGTTATATGGTTCTAAAGATTTTAAAAAGATATATACCATTCAATTTTTTTCTAATTCTTGATTATCTCCCCTTAAAACAGAGGATCAATCAGAACATCTCTCAGTCTTTTTCCTCATGTTGATAAAAAAGTATTTTCTTTAATTGATGGAGTGATGTTGCGATTGAAAGAGGATGTAGCCTTTTTTATGAATAAACTTTAATTCCTTTTACCCAACGATGTATTGTGACTGGCTAACGCTGGCCAAGTCTGGCTAACACTGACTAAGTAGTTCTGAAGAAAAACATGTGAAAATTTTATCTATACAGAGCATTGTTAAAGATCTAGAGATAGTCAAATTTTCATCAGAAAAGCTCAACTGAGCATTCAGCTCAGTTGAACTAATAAAAGTTTCTCACTGTGTTGCAATTTTTTTTTTATTGGTATGTAATAAACTCTTAACAATTTCCACATAAAATGAAAGCATCTTACTTGAGCAAATGCTTTGGTAAAGACTACAGAGTTCCTGGCTAAGTAATCAATATTAGGCGCCTTTATCAACTGGTTTCCATAACTGCGTAGAATAGGCCGGAAATCATCTAACACAAGGAATAAAATATTTGGTCTTCCTATATATAATGAAAAATGCATTTTTCATAAATTTACTGTGTGAGATAATATAAAACAAGAGGCCCAGGGGCCACATCGCTCACCTGAGCAATTGGCTAGAAAAAAGCACATACCAGATCAGAACTGAAAGTTAACTGAGGGTGGGGAGGGGGGGGGCTTGAATTTTAACCCCCCAGGAGGTCATGATTTGACCAAACTAGAATCTACAATGCCTGAGGATGATTCCCTATAAATATCACTAAAGCATGGCTTTGAAGTACTTGAAAAGAAGATTTTAAAACGTTTCCCTATATATTCCTATCTAAAACTTTTATCGGCCATTTGGCCCAACCCTACCCCCGGGGGTCATGATTTGAACAAACTTGAATCTACACTACCTGAGAATGATTCCACATGAGTTTCATCTTTCCTGGCCCAGTGGTTCTTGAGAAGATTTAAAAAAATTTTTCTTATATCTTCCTATGTAAAAATTTGATCGACCATATTGGCCCCACCCTACCCCCAGGGGTCATGATTTGAACAAATTTGAATTTACACTACCTGAGGATGATTCGATCCACATGTGTTTCCTGCCCCAGTGGTTCTTGAGAAGAAGATTTTTTAAAAATGCCATTAATTTTTCTCTAATTCATAATTATCTCCCCTTGGAAAAGGGTGTGGCCCTTCATTTGAACAAACTTAAATTCCCTTTACCCAAGGATACTTTGTGGCAAGTTTGGTTGAAATTGACCCAGTGGTTCTTGAGAAGAAGATGAAAATGTAAAAAGTTTACAACAACGACAACGACGACTACAACAATGATGACAACGACAGACAACGGACAAATTTTGATCAGAAAAGCTCACTTGAGCCTTTGGCTCAGGTGAGCTAAAAACTAAAACTATAATCTAAAACAATTTCAAAATATATTCATTTATATGCATTTTTTCTGACCTTGACCTTTAGGATTTTATTTTGGATGAAAATGAGTGTTAAACAAAGACAGAATGTAATTTTGCATTTATGACCTTGACCTTTAATCTACTGATCTCATTGCAAATCTTAGGCTTCTTTGAAATATCACACAGAAACAAAATAAGGGGACGACCATTTGATCCTGAGGGGGGGGGGCTGGCAAATTTTTTTGAGACGGATTATTTATTTTCATGTCTATCGAGGACAGATTATTTATTTTCAAGATTATCAAGGACAGATTATTTATTTTCTTCTATGTCTTACTGTACCTTGATCAATTGGATCTAAAAGACTAATCATTTATATACCACATTCGGATACAGGATTTGGGGAGGGGAAAGATATAACTTTGTTTAAGCAAGGGGTCTGGGGCCGCCGTAAGGGCCCTAGTGGGTCCTGGGCGAAGCCCTGGTAGAGGCCAAGGGAGTACACCCCCCGAAGCTCTTGGGGTATCGTGTATTTTGGGAGTAAAACCAGGCACTATTATAGTGGTATTGGTTATTATGAACCAAAGTATGACATAATTAATACTGGTTATACCGTACTTTGAATGAAGTAAGTTCAAGGAGCAAAGCCACCTGAAGCTCTTGGGTTTTTCAATATGTATAAGAGTAAAACTTTTGTAGGAATTGGTTAGATGTGTACCAAAGTATGGCATTATTAACTTAAGTCATATCATAATTTGAATGAAAAAGGCCCAGGGGGCGAAGCCCCCTGAAGCTCTTGGGTTTTTGTGTATTTTTAAGAGTAAAACTAGGCACAAAAATATTGGTATTGTTTCAAAGTATGGCATTATTATTATTATTCGTATGATACTTCTGAAATTTTAAATTTTAAGGGAGGGTCATATCATAATTTGAATGAAAAGGGCCCAGGGGGCGAAGCCCCCTGAAGCTCTTGGGTTTTTGTGTATTTTTAAGAGAAAAACTAGGCACAAAAATATTGGTATTGTTTCAAAGTATGGCATTATTAATATTATTCGTATGATACTTCTGAAATTTTAAGGGAGGGTCTCGGGTCGTACACATGTACGTCCCCCTTAAATCCGCCAGTGTATATTTTGTATTAATTTATCTGGAAAGTATAATTATTCGACAAGAAAATTTATCTTTTGTGGTGTATAAGAATTGGTTTGTATTTAAAGTTATTCATCACACCTACTAAGTGCACATTGTCATGTTGATAAACTGACTTAAGTATCCAGTCTGGTAATCTGATTTTAAATACTATTTGGTTCTAAAATGGCGAGCTAAGCGAGCCAAAAAAATTTTTGAATTGAAGACTTTTGAGATTAAATTACACGTAAATAAAAAAGATATTTTTACAATATTATAATTATCAGAAGTCAAGGTCAGATTATTTATTTTCTCTGTAGTGGAGGACAGATTATTTATTTTCAACATTTTCAGGGACAGATTATTTATTTCCAAAATCTGCCAGCCCCCCCCCCCCCCCCCCTCAGAATCAAATGGTCGTCCCCTAAACCTGCAGCTAGACGGACAGACAGACAGACCCAAATTACCACCCCCTCCTACTTCCATTGAAAGATGGTGGACAAAATACTACAGTCGCATATAGCAATAATCAAGATACAACAATAACTGCAATTCATTAAACAAAATACAGGCCCAATTAATGTACGTAACTTAATTTATGCACATTCTATATTAATTATATTCTATATTAAACATGTTAACATCCAGTGCCTGTGTAAACAACACAACATACCACAACATATTATTTGACTAGTCATCCAATATAAAATCATGAAATTCCAGAGGAATGTAACAGTCCGTTGTCTGCACTGGATAAACAGCGACAACATTCTGTTATAAAGCTGTTCTTCGTGGTTTTGGCCTTGATTCTCATCTGACAATTCGAGATGTCATCATAATTGTCTTCGTGAAAAATTCAGAAGTGATTATGAGTTCATTTCTTTTAAGTATTTCCGTTGATGGTTCTCATTTCTCTGCTCCATTTTGCACAAAATATAGACCTTGAGTACATGCAGTCTACTTTCATTTTGAAAGGTAACTTGGACATGTTGATCAAAGTACTAAAGGTACTGAGAGTCAATAGTACAACTGTGCATCGAAACGTAAATTAAAAAATAATTTTTTACGTCCCCGAAAAAACGAAGTTTCGAGGGGTATAAGTTTTTGTTGTATCCGTCTGTCTGTCTGTCCACAAAAACCTTGACCTTGCCAATAACTTTTGAGTGGGTGGGGATATGGCTTTCATACTTCACGTGTGTAGCATAGCAGAATTTTGTATATATGACTTTAAATTGTGTTTTTAATTTTTATGCACTTATAATTATGAAATATAGGTAGGTAAATAAAAGTTTTACAAATATATAAAATTACAAAGTTATTAAAAGTGTATATGTGTTGATTTATTTTATAATTTTGTTGAATTAATTATTTTCCCGCCAAAACTCTATTGAGCGATTGGTTTAGTAATATCACATGACTAGTGACCATAGACAGGTTTTTTAATCTATTGGGGGTGTTGGTCACTTTTGTCCAGTGCTGTGGTACCAGCAGGTAGTGTCTATAATTATGTTCCCCAAACGAAGTTGGGGAACATATTGTTTTTACTCTGTTTCTTATTAAGTCTTCCGTTCACAACGGAAGACTTATAGTGATTGTATTGTTTCTTTTTAAGTCTTCCGTTCACAACGGAAGACTTATAGTGTTTGTATTGTTTCTTTTTATTATTATTATTATTATTATTATTATTCCTCCCAAATTTTGTGAGCGCGATTACTCAGAGATGACTGGATAGATTTTCACAATTTTTCTCATGTAAGTAGGGTGATATACGAAGTTTATATAAAATTCCGTTTTTTGAAATATTCACTTCCGGTCCGAAGTTATGGCCGATTTTCGAATTTTAAAATGGACTTTTGTCCGGCAGTTTTCTCGGAAACGGTTTGAGGTAAAGATATGAAATTTACAGGAGTATTAGATCATGATATTCTATTTGTTTTGAAGTTGTTTTCGTGTGTTTCCAGTACTTCCTGTCCGAACCGGAAGTGAATTTGTTTTTGGTCAATT